AAGGAAGGAAGGAAGGAAGGAAGGAAGGAAGGAAGGAAGGAAGGAAGGAAGGAAGGAAGGAAGGAAGGATATGGGTAAGACATTAAAACAAAACTGTCATTCGATGGAAAGAATGAGAGACAAGAAATGTTTATGTGCCATAGGACAGATTATGTTGTACCTGCAACACAGTAATTTGTTTGCCCTCCCAATTTTAAATTAAAGATGAATCAGTAAAAGGAAAATAGCTATGCTACAGTGCATTCATTCTAATTTATAACAGTCTATGCCTCTGGAAGTCTCCAGTTATTCTAGAAAATATCATTGGTGAGTTGCTGCTACTTTGTTTGGAAGTGTGCCCAGCTGCCAGAAAGAATAAAAAGGGAAGCTAGAATTGCAGAGAGAGCACTGTGGAAGGCTAAAACAGGAGGCAAGGAGCACCTTCACTAATTTGCCTTCTGATAAGGGCTTTGGTGCACTATGGAAGTCCTTTTTTTAAAGCATCCATAACATATACTAGAAATTGTGCCTATTGGGCTCAAAACTGTAACATTGTTTTATGTTTTACATCAATCCTGACCCCAGGCAGAGGAGATAGCATGGCAGTTATTTGCCAGGAGATCCTAGCTGTTGCAAGGAGCATGTTCCGCAGGTAGCCACAGACTTGCTCACAGTCCTGGGTGAAAGGTACAAGCTATGGGATCCTGCTGTTGTACCATCCTCCCAGCTGCATGGTGGCATCCCTCACTGAGCTGCTTGATCTCATTGCAGGGATGGTTGTAGATTTGCACAGTTGGCTGGTACCCAGTGATTTCAACTTACCATCCCTCAGCCTTATGATCAGATCAGGAAATGTCTGCACAAGAAAACTAGAACTATACTTTACTGAGATAATAACAGAATCTTGCAAGTACGGATGGCTTCTTCAAGGTCATCTATGTGGCCCCCTACACAGAAGCAACTCAAGGGTTTGTGGCTGTCATGACAACCATGGACTTGTCTTAAGTCATGACTGACCTGACTCACATGGCTGGCCATAGTTTAGCTCCATTGTCTACCTGGGAGCAGATTTGTCATTATCTGGTTCTAGAGGACTTTCTTATCAGTCCTTTGTCAGGGATAGATCTCTTCCATGATAATTCCATGGGATTAACTGAGCTACCAGCCTCTGCAGGGTGGAGGAGCCTATTAAGATGGCCCACCCCAAATGTTTGAGGTATTCAGCATGCTTCCTGATGGTGCTTGGGAAACCTCTCAGCAGTCTGGAGGGCGATTCTGTTGGGTGCCTTGCTAACTTCTAGAATACAGAAGCACCAAGGTGCTCAACGAGTTTGCCTCTAAGTGGCCTCTTCCCACCCATACAGCACCTTGGTTTACTGAGGAGTTCTTGGAAATGAAGCAGGTGAAGAAACACCTAGAGCGATGCTGACAAAAAACAGGAAGCCAGTGTGACCAGACATAAGTAAGAGTCCATATGCAAGCCTACTCTGTGGCAATAAAGGTAGTAAAGCATAATTACTTCTTCGCCCTTATTGCATCCGCAGAATGTTGGCCAGCTCCACTGTTCCAAGTGCCCTGGACCTTTTTGGGGAAAGATGGGTCAGAAAATCATGTTAATGAAAGTGTGATTACCTGGCTGAGCATTTCATGGATAAACTTGCTCATGTTTACGCCGAGTGGGAAGCCAGATGGATGGAATCTATTAAAACAACAGAAATAACATCTCATGGTGTTATCTGAGAGACTGTTGAGCCTGTAGATCCAGAGGAACTGGACAGAATCCTCTGTGATCTTGGCTCTGCCACTTCTGATTGGTCCTTGCCTCACCTGGCCAATAAAAACAGCCAGGGACAGACTAGGAGATGGGCCAAGACTGTAGTTAATGCCTCTGTGAGAAAAAAGGCAGTGCCAGAGGCCCTTAAAGAAGCATTTGTTCACCCATTTCTTTTACTGTTGATGGAGTTGGCTTCCCCAGAAAAAGCAAGCTTACAATCTGAGGGTCCTCCTGGACTCAAGGCTCCTGTTCAGAAAGCAGGTGGAAACCAGGAGAGCTTTTGCACAGCTTCAGCTAGTGTAATGGCTGCAGCCTTATCTGGAACAAAATCCACTTAAGATGATTGCTTATGCCCTTGTCATCTCTAGATTAGATTACTGTAACTTACTCAACATGGGGCTGCCCTTGAAGACCACCCAGAAACTTCAGTTAGTCCAGAACACAGCACCACACATGCCCAGTCATGATAGAGCTACATTATACCTGTGCTATGGGAACTGTTCTACTTACTAATATGTTTCTAAGTGTAATGGAAGGTGCTGGGCAATATGTACAAAGCCCTGTATGGCTGGAGCCTGGGTATATAGAAACTTTCCCCCAACAGTTTCTATATCTAGCCAAACAACTAGAGAGCGTTTCCTAAGAGTCCTATCATGAGATACAGCAGGAGGGGACCCAGTGGCAGTATTCTCTGTTGCAGTTTGTTTCCTCCAGAATAGCTTGCCCCCAGAGGTGAGAACAACCCCTACCCTCATGGCAGGTGGGGAAGCAGCTGAGAATGTGGCTATTCTGAAAGGCTTCCGGGGATCAACTAAAACCAGCGGTGCCATATTCCATTCAATGGATTTAACTTTATTACTTTTAGTGTTTAATTGAATCACCAGTTAGATTGGAGTTCTTACTTTAATTATTATATTGATTTTATACTGCATTTTATATGTAAGTTCTGTAAGCTCCCTAGCGTCCAGTTACGTTTCAGGTGGTAGAGAAATGCAGTGAATAAATAAGCGAGCTATCCTAGCCCACAGGGTGAAACCGATTAATCCATTAAGTGAAACAAGTTTGCCAAGCGTTGTAGCTACATAATGTAGGTACTAATGGGCTGGATTAAAGGGACTGTCCAAGGTTAGTGGAGATCAAGATACTCTTTCTCTGATCGGAATGACTGCATTGCTCAGATTGCTTTAGAAATATTAGAGGCATTATTTTAAGGTCAGCCATCAGCGTTAAAAAGATTGGTCTTTGCATAAGCTAAGCTGATAGGAAAGAGCCAGGAAAGCTTGGAAAATAACAAGAGCAACTTTCAAATGGGGGGGGGGGGAGGAGGGCAGGGAATGAGTCTTAACTGTATTTAATGGTTTGAATAAATTATAGTAACAGTTGCATGACTTCTTAATAGATTTGTAGGCTACAAATCGGGGATGTGCACACAGTCCATCTATGTTGTCATCACGCTGAAAATCTTGGTTGGTGGAATTCCATCCATCCTCATACTCTTAGGCTTATCTGTACTCCTGTTGTATCCAGTCAATGAGAAAAGTCAAAAAGAAATGAAACACGCCTTTGAAAATTCAAGGTAGGTTTGTACTAATATCAGCTTCTCCTAGTGCACATCTTTCTCTCAGTGAAAGAGGTATGCTGCTTTTTAAATCAAAAATTATTAAATTTAGTAAAAATATATGATACTTACAGTATGCAAGACCTGTTTCTTTGAATGTCTTATTTCCCGTTCCTTGAACACCCACGTGCATTCACACATAAGCAGGTTATGCTCCTGATTCATAACAAATCCAGGAAGCTTACAAAGCAAATAAAATATCCACCAGATAATAAGTTGCTGCGTTGGGTTATCAAAGCACACTGTAAAGCTAATTCTTTGAAAGTTCAACCTGTTGAATTTTGGAAGCTGCCTTAAACTTAAATCCAATGCTGATTTTCAGAGTTTCAGAAAAGCCAGAATTTTAACAACCTGGAATTGTGTGCATGCAGAATGTCTACTCCATCACTGGACTAAATAAACAATAACCCTTAGTAGAAATTCCTGTATTCTCTCCTACAGACTTGTGGTGTTCAGCTTTGGTGCGTCTTACAACACAACCTATTTTGCATTGTACTGGAACTGTCTTTTCCACAGAGATGAAGTACAAGCAGCAGGAAATAAATCATGATAGAGTTAACTAGAGCTTACAAGATGTTAGAATTAAAGGACAGTATCGTTGATTAGAAGCTAATGGGCAACTTTCTTAAAACCAGCTTAATGTGACAACATTTGTCTCTTTTTAACAAGTGAGCAACCACATTGTGTACCAATCAGCATTTCAAATCTTATTCAGGGAAGTAATTAGGTAAAACTTGGGGCAATTAACATGCCAGATTTTAGCTTTTTCTTGAATGTTTCAGATTATATACATCTCTGAAGGAAAACTTTCTGGATGCAGATCATTAAAAAGGCGGGATCCAGGCTCAGTAGATGCCATACGGGTAATCCTCGCTTAATGACCACAATAGGGACCAGAAAATTGGTCATTAAGCAGGGCAGTCATTAAGCAAGTAACCACATGACCAGACCCATTTTTACAGTGGTTGTTAAGTGAATCACATGGTCATTAAGCGAATCCAGCTTCCCCAGTGAATGTTTTTTGCCAGAATCTGCTTAACAAACATGTGATTCGCTTAACAACTGTTGCAAAAAGGGTCACAAATCACGATCATGTGATTGTGGGGGTGTGTGACAGCTTGTGGTAGTCGTAAGTGTGAGTACAGGTCATAAAGCACTTTTTCTGAGGCTGTCGTAACTTCAAACCATCGTTAAACAGTTGTTAAGTGAGGACTACCTGTATTTAAATTACAGTGCGAACTGTTTTTTTACGCAATTCTTTCACATCTTATAAAACAGGAGGATTCATTCAAGCACTGAAAATTTTGCTGAAGAAAGCACTTTTGCTGGAAAGCCTGAACAAAAATAGAAACCCAGTGGTAATGGAAATGCAACCGGGGGGCAGCACTTCACCATGCTTGAAGGCATTTGTCTTATTCGACTGGTGATTAGCCATCAACATACCAAAGCTACACTGATCAAAAAGATGATACTTCGGAGCATGGCTTGGAGAGCTTGTACATCTGTAATGCCATATCGTACAGTATTGTTCACATGCTGTGAAGCCTTGGAAGAGCTGTTTATAAGATGCAATAGGTGGCGCTCCCTCCTTTCATTTACAGTACAGTATGTGTTACACTGAGGAGGACAGCTGCCTAACAAGATAAAAGCCGTGGTCTTGTGGGCGCTATCCATAAGCTGTAACCAAGAAAGTGGTTAGAGGAAATTTCAACTAATTATAAGTTAGGGTTCCTACCAAAGGAAATCCCATAATTTCTGTTGATCACAGAATTCTGTTTATCATTAATGCGTTGCCATATAATCCACTGGCTTCTCATGTGTTTGTTCAGCTTCCAGTCGTAAGACTGTGAAGCAAGAGCTTATAAAATCCAGCAGTACTGACACTTCCTTATTCTCAACAAGCTTTGAATAGCCTGAGAAGTTCTTATAAAATGGTATAGGTATACAATTTGAAGTAAATCATTCCTTGATTAATGGAATGCAAGGTCAAATTCAGTTATTCCAAGATTCAGAGGTTCAGCTGATTATGTCTTCACTTCATAACCACTTATGGAATACTAGTGGTACAGACTTCTGTTTGGCAACGTGCAGCCATTTTGTGGAAAAATTGGCATTATACATCATGTGAATAGCTGGCATCCACAGAAAAGGTTACCACCGCGGAAATTGCTTTCATAGTTATGCAGGGAAAAAGAAGAAAGAAAATGGCTATATTGGGCTTTTATCAGTAGTACACCAGAGGATGAGAGACAGTTCACTAAATGATGGAGTCAAATGTATTATTATTCCAGGTAGCCCATTTTTGGATTAATTTGGAGGAATAGAACTCATGAATTCTAAAAGTCTGACTTTCAGATGTTTGTTATACTAAATGGGGTTCACGTGAATATCATAGGAGCATGTAGTGTCACCGCTGATTTTGAAATCTGATATATGGAGGTGCTCTATCAACTGAACATTTTGTGAGGCATTATAATTGTGAATTGTAGTAGCTACGGGTTCCCTTGATGGAAGCACCAGTCTGCACTACAAGTACTTCTACAGGTACATAGCATTTTCATTGACAGGCTCAATAGCAGTTCTGTGTGCTCCACAAGAATGCCACTGAAACTTTTTTTAAAAAGCCTGTATTTATATGGTAAATGGAGGTATTACATACACACACACACAGAGTATGGGGCAGACTTTCAGTCTAGTGATGGTGAAATGTGATGAGATATAAAACTCCACTATTTTTAATGCTGCCAGCATGAAAACTACAGGCTTTTTAGAATTGGATGCAGACTTTGTAAGTCTGATGCATTATAACAGCCAAAATTATAGCTAAATGTATTTGAAAATGGGTGTTTATTTTTGTTAATGGATTCATAGATTAAGCTTAAAACACCCCTAGAGTTGGAGAAATGTATTAATGCTTAACTTATTTTGGAAATAATTCATTGGGAACAGCTCTTTTAGTGGGCATTATGAATAACTGGAAGTTGGGCAAGAGCTGGGCAATATTGTGATTTACATTTTCAGTAAGACTTGTAGACAAGATATTCCTGGTAGATTGTGTGTTTATATGGTTCTAAAATACACTTACACAGGCTCTCCCACTCTCCAGATGCATCTCAGTAGAATATGTTTTAAAATCATTTAAATTGTTGTCTATTCATATGCAGGGATGATTGAAATCATAATAGGAATGAGCAAAGTAGGATTTCTGATTCAGAGTTAAAGTAAAACTGATAGAATAAGTTGAATACAATAAATACAGCAGCAATTGTGCCACCATCTGTTAAATTCATCTCACAAAAACCTCAGCCACCTCTTTCCCTTTCTTAGGCTTGCTAGGAAAACTGGACCCCTATGAAGATCTTGCCCAGGAGACTAAGTTCTCAAGTGCAAATTCTAGTGAGCTTTTTGATTCAATTGATCTCATGTCCTTGTTTGGCTGGGAGGAGAATACAGTCTTTGTGAATGGAGTCAAATTTCATATGTTGGCTGCAAAACATCAGTAACCTCTAGAGGGCAGCAAAGATATTCAGAGAACTCTCACTTTGCTATTGTCTAGTGGTCATCTGGATTTTTGCAGCCCAGACAGAATAACCTTATTTTATATTAAATACTTACGTGTTTTTAAATAATTGTTGCAATGTTGTCCTTTACAGTTTTGGGGAGTTGTTTTACATTTTTTGCCTTTATTTATTTAATAAAACAGAAAAAATAACTAGGAAAAAAGAGAAAAAAAGCAATTCAACAATAACAAAAATATACAGTTGCAAGAAAAAGTATGTGAACCTTTTGGAATTTCATGGTGTTCTGCATTA